TAATCATGAAAACAAGCAGACAGGCTTCATGACAGAGATAGTGATACGAGACTATTATTTGCATCCTCATTGGGGTCAATGTACCCTGGAGAGGATATGCCTGATGGGAGGGACAGACTGTGACACACCATCACATCAAAGAGAAGGCACTGTTGTAGCTGACCTCGTGCCTCCAATAAACCCCGATCTGTCCCTAATCCCACCACTTTGCTTATGAGCCAGAGTCCTGAGCATCTTGCAAGAAGTGCTTTGCAATCGTGGGCACGGCCATCACGCCTGTCATTATCTTTCTTTTACCGGCTGGTAAACAGAGGCATTGGAAAGCTGGTCAAGTTAGAAACCATCCCACCTTCTTGAGGTGGCTCCTAAGTGCCCACCATCTGCCGGTGGTGGCCCCTCACAGGGGCTAGGGGCATTCCTAAGCCTTGACCTTCTCTGAATGCTTACTGGGTGTTTGGAGCTTGTAGGTGCCCTTGATGAAAATGCAAAGAGCAGGCTGCCTGACATGCCTGCACCTGCAGAGAACACGGGCACATGCAGCGCTGCCTCACAGCAGCTGCTCAGGCGGGCAGTCCTGTCACAGTCCTCGCTGCCCAGCTGAGTTACTGAGGACCTCCAGAGAAGGCTTGGAGGAGACCACACTATGCCATGCCCCACACTATTTCACTGAGGGTGGGGGCTACTTTTTGTCACCCAGTGTGGGCTGGCACTGGTAAGCCCAGTCTGTGAGGCATGTGCTGGCGATGCAGAGGACGCCAGGCATCGCCCTGCAGCCTCAGGGCAGCTTTTTCTGCAACGGCTGCTGCAGCCAGGCTGTGGTGAGGTATAAAAGCTGTTTCGGCCCCAGGCTTCCCTCAGATCATGAACAAACTGCCTGGACTCGCCAGCTTCAGTTCCTAGCACCAGCCCACAGAGTGCACAGCCCTGGTAGGAGCCAGTCCGCGTGCAGTTAGTGCAACCAAGCTGGGGATGAGAAATACACTGCCAGGTTGAGGAAGGGCATTACTTGCACGCAGTGTGGCCAGGAACACAAGGCAACACTGAGGAACTCCTTGGTGGGCACAGAGGTGGCCCTAGTGCTGGAGCACTGTAGGATGGGTGGCTTTGTCCAGGCCAGCTGCAAGTTATCAGTGGGAGGGTGCAGGAGTGCAGGTCTGGTGTGGTGGAACGAGTTGGAGGCATCATGGAAGTGGTGCAGGGAGGAGGTGGGGGATGTGCCCTGAAGCCAGTACCTGGCTGGGAGTGCTGCAGAGCCCTGTCCATGCCAGCAGATATCCTTAACCTAAGGTCTGCCTTTTATTCCAGCTTCCCTGAATCAAAATATATCCTGCTCCAGACTATGTGCCCCGTCCCGTGGGGTGGCTGCCCCGGCCCCGCTGGCTGCCCCCACCCACCAGCCCTGCGTGCGGCAGTGCCCCGACTCCACGGTGGTGATCCAGCCCCCACCCTCCGTCGCCACCTTCCCCGGGCCCATCCTCAGCTCCTTCCCGCAGTACAGCGTTGCTGGCTTGGTGGGAGCGCCCAGCATTGGAAGGGACTATGCTGGCACTTCTGGAGGTCATGGTGGTTTTGGAGGCTATGAGGGCTCCTGGAGCTATGGAGGCCTTGGGGGCTACAGACACTGTGGGTTTTCTGGGGGCTACGGAGGCTTTGGAAGCTGCAGATATGGTGGTTGGGGCCGAGGCCACAGGTATCTCAGAGGCAACTGTGGGTCTTGCTAAGCCCCACACTGGGTCCTGCCACAGATGAAGAGGAGCTCCAGAAAAGCCCCCAACACATTCCAGCACAACACACAAAGGAAGAACATGTGTTTTGCACTGCTGGGCTCCAGGTCTTGGAAGCCTTGTGCCTGTTTGGAGCTCAACTCTGCCTTTCTCCTGCCCTGTCTGAGCATCCCTTGGGGATGTGCTGCCCAGGATGATGTAGTCCCATACTGGGTACTTGCTTCTATGACATGGCTTATGCTCCCTGTCACTCTGCCTGCTACCAGGAGATGTGGGCTGTTGTAGGCAAGGACTCTACTCTCCATCCCTTGAACGGCAATAAAAACTGTGTTGCATCACAATGTTGATCCATGGGTTTTTTTGATCTTTCCTTTATTCCTATTTCACACCAACCTCAGGGTATGTCTGTCTGGGCTTCTTCAAACTCCCACGGTAGAGCCCTTGGACCATTTGAGCAGTTTGCTCACTGTGTTATGACTGATGAGGAGAGTCCCAGCTGTGACTTGTAGAGCACATGCCACTGAGCAACCTCTGGTCTCCTACCGGTGATAAACACAAC